TTTTGTCTCATATGCTGAGTTTTGTCTCTGACTTCTGAGTTAGATGTGATGTCACTGAATTTAATTCTATTCCTTTTCCCTATGCATATTTTACATAATTGTCTTCAAGCGTATGTTCATTTTTAAAGCTTATAAGATGTGCTGTGTCAAGTATCTTTCCATATTGCTCCATGATTTCTTATAACCATCATTTACAATGAGACTTTTTAGTTTTTGTCTTTTCAGAAGAATTTTGATAGCCAGTATTGTCAGCCTCAAAGAACAAAGGCTTTCCAACTTGGATACTTCAGCCCACTCACGATGGTTTTTGCCATAGATATTTTAGAATAGGAGTAACTGTTGTACTACTAATTTCATTAATTCTTAACTATAGACATGTCTTTGTTGTGCTTAGTAATGGGACTCTGTAGTTTGGGGTTCAGACTTAAATGAGTCTAGGATTTCAGTAAAGGATGAAAGGTATACAGCATAGTGATTAATACCATCAGTTTGAGTCTGGAATGTGTGGGTTTAAAGTCTAGTATTGCTTCTTAACCACTGAGGTGACTTAGAACAAATTACTTAGTATTCTTTCTTTGCCTTCATCACCATGGATAAAACGGGGTTAATCGTATATGCCTTGTAGAGTGTTTTTAAGATTTAAATTAGTCTATGCAAAGTATTTAGAATAGAGCCTTGCACCAGCAACTGTTACAGAAATGTTACTTAGCAGTAGCATCATCAGTATTACATGTTGGTTCACCCAAATCACAAATTATTTATTTATTTTTTTAAGAAAGACCTTGTTTCTCTACCTCTCCGGTAGCCATGCCCCTTGTAGTGTGACTTTACAGCTTCTTCCATTAAGGTGTGAAAACTGTTTCCTCTCCTCTTGAATCTGGGTTGGCTCTTGAATTTTGAATTGGCTCCCACCAGTAGGCAGAAGTGACAGTATTCCAGCTCCAAGCTTAGACCTCAGGAGACCTTGAGTCCTTTTCCTTACTCTCTCGGAACCATAACGTTTGCCATGTAAACAAGGCTGGAGTAGGTTACTAGAGAACTCAGCCAGCCTAGTCAAGGTCATTCTAGACTAGCCTACAGCTTGTCAGCTTCCAATTGTGAGTGAGCCCAGCCAAGATAAGTAGCCCTGCTCCACAGTGACTGTAAATGCATGGTTGTCCCTAGCCAAGACTAGGAGAAAGGTCCAGCTGATGCATAGACTCATAAGCATTAAAGAATTTTTTTTAAAGCACACACGCGTGTGTGTGTGTGTGTGTGTGCCATACCTGAAAATCCTTACAGTGTAACCATGTATGTTGAACACACAAAATGCCTGGGGTGAAGATTGCATGTCCCCCCTTTTTTTTTTTTTTTCCAAAGTACATTTTAGGCATTAGAATTTAACCTTAAATTTCTGTTCTTGTTTGATAACATGTTTTTGGCAAAAGAAATTGAGTGTTGGGCTTGTGAGTTTCGTATTAACTCTTAAGTGCATTGCTAATACATAGTACTGCAGAGTTAATGTACAGACATGCTACTAAATATTCTTACTGTTTTCTGCAAGCTGTATCTTTTCCCTCCCAGCAACTTTAATATCAATGTCTCTGCTTGAACAAAATATGAATGTTATGATGAATCTTCTCCACCTCTGTCCAGAGATTCCGTGGGTTCCTCTGAACCACTGTAGGCTCCTCTTTAACCATAGAAAGGAAACTCAGGGCCTTTCAAACCATAACCAAACCCATTGACATTAAACCAATTTCAACTCATAACAACCATATAGTTGCTATATGGTTGGAAATTAAAGTTTCCAAGGGTGTAAATATGGGAGCTACCTTTACTGCCTCATCTTTCTCCCATGAGCGACTGTTGTTGTTGTTGTTATGTGCCCTTGAGTTGGACCCGACTCATAGCTACCCCTCCTTGGGTTTCCAAGGTGGTATCAGTATGGAAGTAGATTACGGTGAGTAATCAATCTTCCTTACAATGAGTGGCTGGCTGGTGGGTTCGAACCGCCAGCCTTCTCATTAGCAGTCAAGTGCTTTAGGCAGTACGCTACCAGAGGTAAGTTCAAACTAGTGACCTTTTGGTTAGCAGCTGAATGATTTAACCCACTGTATGCCACTCACTCACTGCCATCAAGTTGAACCTGACTCGTAGTGACCCTTCCTTGGGTTTCCAAAGAGGTATCATTACGGAAGTAGATTGCCCAACTTTCCTTCCAAGGAATGGCTGGTGGGTTTGAACCACCAGCCTTCTGGTTAGCAGTCAAATGCCTTAGGCACTATGCTACCAGAACCAGAGCTTCCTATATTTTTCATTTGGCATCTATGGAGAGGGTTTCTTTCCACATACCTGCACACTCTTTTTGAGATGTTCTGTAGGATGTAATTGATACACTTGAGAGTTTGGTCATTTGTTCTGGGCTATCCCTTTCTGATTGTGGACATGTATCAGAATATTTAGAATAGATATTTGGTGATAAAAGCCATCTTAGTTGCTTCTGCTGTTCTATAATGTTTCCCAGGAATGTTCACAACCCTTTATAAAATTTATGTATCAGGTGCTCAGAGTTGATACAAGGAAATTCACTTGAAAGCAGCTAGTGGCAAAGCAGTTTGCATTGTTGGTATCCACTGCCATGGAGTTGATTCTGACTCATAGCCACGTTTTTAAGGACAGAGTAGAACTGCCCCATAGGTTTCCAAGGCTGTAAATCTTTATGAAAGCAGATCATTATTTGTAGGGTATATACAAATATATAGGAGCTCTGGTAGCATAGTGGCTAAAGCACTTGACTGCTAACCAGAAGGCTGTCGGTTCAAACCCACCAGCCAGTCCTCGGAAGGAAGGTTGGGCAATCCTACTTCTGTAGTGATACTGCCTCGGAAGCCCAAGGAGGGGTCGCTACGAGTTGGGGCCGACTCGACGGCATATAACAACAACAACAACATACAAATATATACACCAACTCTTTAAAGTAGTTTTAATTTTTCAGATAGTCTGATTTTATAGTAAATTCAAACAATTTGGAGGGATTAGTTTTAATCCATACTGGTCCACAAAAACCCAAACTCAGTGTAATCGAGTTGCGTCTGACTCACAGCAACCCTGTTGGACAGAGTAGAACTGCTACAGAGGGTTTCCAAGGCTGTAAATCTTAACAGAAGCAGACTGCCTCATCTTTTCTCCTGTAAAGTGGCTGGTGGGCTCAAACCGCCAACCTTTTGGTTAGTAGCCCAATACTTTTCAGCCTTAGGTGATGCTAAGATTTCTAGTATACTTCATTTCTTCCTTTCCATCTGTTCCTAAATCTCAAAGCAAGGATCATCCTATATCATTGTAACATTTCATAATGAGCTAAGAGTGTTTGACAAGTCTAAAATCAAAGCTTTATTACTATGTAATGAGACATTTCAGGCCATTCATTCTACATGACAGGGAGCTCTGGTAGCATAGTGGCTAAGACACTTGCCTGCTAACCAGACAGCTGGCGGTTCAAACCCACCAGCCACTCCTCGGAAGGAAGGTTGGGCAATCCTACTTCTGTAGTGATACTGCCTTGGAAAGCCAAGGAGGGGTCGCTATGAGTCGGGTATGACTCGACGGCACATAACAACAACAACATTCCACATGACAAGAAATCCAACCCATTTCACCAACTTCGGCCTTTTTTTTAATAAGTTATGCTTTTTATTGTCCTGGGGTTTTTATTCATTTATTTTGGGGGCAGGGGAGCTTTGGTACCTTGAAGAGTCCTGGTGGCACAGTGGTTAAAGCACTTGGCTGCTAACCAAAAGATCAGCTATTCGAATCCACCAGCCGCTCCATGGGAGAAAGATGGGGCAGTCTGCTTTTATAAAGATTTACAGCCTTGGGAACCCTATGGGGCAGTTCTGTTCTATCCTGTAGGGTCACTATGTGTCAGAATTGACTCGATGGCAGTGTGTTTGCTTTTTGGTTTGATACCTTGATTCAGTGATACCAGTTTCCTATTGAATGTATACTTTGTGCTCGAAATGCTCATAGGTTTTATATTGTTTCTCTTTCCCTAAGTTTTGAGTAAATCATACTGTTTTGCTTGGTTTTTCACTTGCACAGTGTTGCTCTCAGATATGAGCTTCTTTATCTTATGAGGCAACAGAGAAAGAATGGAAGCCACTTGTGCATCATTGCATATGTAGTCATATGGTGGCAATATCAGGGAAATTATAGAATGGCTTAGTTTTAGAGTGCCTCAGCCTGTGCTGCAGATAACATTTGCTCAGGAGAGAGGTGAAGGGTATTTTATAACTCTAATGATACGTACAGTTTTTGAACAACTGCTCTCTCCCAGCCTGCCCCACCACCAGTCTTTTTGCACACGCATAATTTTGGACTTAATTATGCTTTTATGCCTTCTTCCTTTCATAAAGATTTTAGCTGGCTTATGACTTGTTGAAACGAGGAAAAAAAGAGGAGACCTGAAATGGTCTGTCCCCTGCCAACCAGAAGCCTCCTGTGGTATCCAAACAGACTAGTTGCCTCAGTGTGTTAACACTTCTGTCTTTGAAGGTGGTTTCTGCTTAAAAAGTGGCAACGCTATTAGCATAGCATTGAGATAAGTCTTCTCCCTCTTCTCTCAGGATGTGCTTTTTTCCAGATACTTTCCTGCTCTTACTCACTCTTGTTTTCCCAGAAGATTCAGCCCATGATTAAAATGTTTCAGGTCCCCGATTGAACTTTCTGTGGGATTACCCAATTCTGGGGTACCCTTGCTGGATCATCAGTCCTAAAGAGGTCAAAGGATCTTCTTGGTTTATAGAAAAAGTCATTTTGGAATCGATCTCAAAGTCCAGAAACATCCAGACTTTCTTCATTGCTTTTTTCTGTTTGGGATAGCAGCTTTGCCTAGTGTGTGGGAGGGAGGGGCTATTTGGGTGGACCTGTTTAAGGGGTTCAGAAGCAGGGGGTTTAAGTGTCTCTTTTATGTTTGCAAGGCACTAACACCACTCCCGTCTGTATTTAAATGCTGTCCCCAGGTTACGACTATGGCTATGTCTGCGTGGAGTTTTCACTCTTGGAAGATGCCATCGGATGCATGGAGGCCAACCAGGTTGCTTTATACTTCGGTCAAATGATGCTGAAAGGATATATTTTTATGTATGGGGAGGGGGGTTTCAAATGATTTCACTTTGGAAAAGTAGGAAAAATCCATCTTTGGAGCATAGCACATTCCAACCAAAAAGCGATTGTGAGGAGAAACTTAAAAGAGGCTGGGAAGATTTCGCTAGAAGAGTTAATGGGTATAGAGTGTATTTTTAAAACTAGAAAACAAGAGCCCAATTGCAGTTGGACTAGATTCTAGAGACAGTAGATGGGGAAAAAAATGACAGGTCTGGAGTGCTTCCCTTGGAATGTGACTGAAATGTAGATCCTGATGCAAAGAATGGTCTTTGACTGTCTGTGACCCACAGAGCTGCCCGGCACAGGGATTCTAGATCAATACTTAACCTAGACCTAGGGTAAAGACCACTGATGGCAACTCCTGTGGCATTCAGGTCCTGTCTGCATGTGCCACTTTCACAAGAGGGCCGTCAGGGAGGAGAAAGGTACAGATTGCTCGTGTCTGTTGCATTCATTATTGTTCTTTGCCAGTTGGAGTTCTTGACTCAAGTCCTTGGCTGCATATAGTCAGAGCTGGTGAATCTGAATCTGTACTTATATTTGAACTATCCAGAGGTATTTAGCTTGCCACTAGTACTGTCATTTGGGTCTTTAATTGAACTCTGCCTAGTAGTTTTGGGAAAGGAATTACTAAATGGCTAAAATCCCTCTTGTCATGATGTTCCCATCAAAAATTAATTTTCTCTCTAGTGCCTCAGTTTCTATAAGATGGGACAAGAAACTTTAGTGATATAGTTTGATATTTTATGTATCCACTGCGTGTACATAACTGAATGCAGTGAGCCAGATTCTGAAAAGCCTCTGCCAGAGAAGAGTAGTATCACACGAAAACTCTTCTTCTTCTGTAGCCTGATGCCCTTTCATTGGCTTTGAGCCACTCAACATGGCTCATTATACTTAACCTTTTCTGTTCTTAGCTGTTTTCTCCCCTTGTGGGTATGGAGATGACATGCTTTCAGTGCATTGGGAGCAAGCACTAATTTGAGGAAACTCACAAATCCATAGTTGTTAATATTACAAACACCACCAGGTCTTCAGAGAGTGATTGGGTTTGGACTGTATTCCCTTGATTTGGCAGGTTTCTCATAGACTGATTTGTGCAGTGTACATCGAGTCAATCTTTTAACAAACACTATGTGCCAGAAACTGTGCTTACTGCCAACTTTGGAGAGAAGATTGAAGGTCCCAGTCTGTATGCCTATAATCAGTTCCATTCTGACAATCTGCCCTAATACGAGAATGCTCATTTAATTCATAAGCATCTTGTTCTTATCAGTGACTAGTCATTAAGTCCTGTGCTACTTTACTAAATACTGTGAGTGGTAGAAACATAAATGGAAGAGCCATGGCAGAGGCAGTCTCATTTGCACCTTTCTCCCAACTGCATGTTTCTTCTCGAAGGTATTGCTTTTTAACCTTTGATCTTAAAAATACCAGTATTATCTCTTAACTGCTCTTTGCCTCTGCCCCAACAAAAAAATCTGTTTTAAGTATCCATCCCCCTCAGAGAGTGGTCTTAAATAGAACTAGGGCACCCTTCTTTAAAAGCAAGATTGTCCTTAGGGAGGCCTTCCGTTGGAGCCACATCTGGGAAAATGCTCATTTATGCAAGCATTATGGGAATGGTGACTTACAGACATCACTCCACAGCTGTTCTAGGAACATTGTTAGGGCTCCTGATGAATGACCCTTGCCCAGTGAGTGGGACACCAGAACAAAGAAGGAGCATAGCCAGAATTCTTCAGTGTGAGAGAGTTTTTTGATAGGTAACCATCTTCATGTGTAGGGTAGTATTTGACACTCTGCAAGAGTACAGGTAAGAGACAGCCCTGCCTTCCAGGGCTTTATAATCTCAAACCAAAAGAGTGACAGAGCTTATATGGTACTCATGAATCATATATGGTTATTCTCTCAAATCAACTTCATATTTTTGTCTGACCTCATTTTCCTTATCCATTGGATTTATTCCTTAATAAGGCATCTTACATATCCTTATTCTTACTGAGTCAACCCCATTTTCTAGATTTTCATTCTCCCTCTGACCATGAAACAGGCATACTGCTAGCATTGCCACACAACAGAATCTTCTTTTGCTGAACTGCACAGACTTGATGATTCAATGAGTGTTCTCTTAAAAATCTGTAGCACAACTCAGGGTGTGTGCAAGTCATTCTGATGGGGAGGGGGTTGAGAATCAGATCTCTAGGGAAATTATTACCCGTTGTGGTAAAATATACACAAAATAAAACTCACCATTTTATCCAGTTTTAAGTATATGGTGCTTTAGAAGCACCATATGGCATTAACTACGTTCACAGTGTTGTGTATCACCACTATTTCCAGAACATTTTCATCATCTTAACCCAGGATAATTTTTATACTTTGATAGCATAGCATAGAAAAGAAGAGTGCAGTTTCTGGATCAGATGTTACTTCCCATCTGAGTTACCTCTGGCAAGTTTTTTTTAACCTTCTTCAACTTCAGTTCCCTCTGTCAGAGGGATGATACTGATACTTACTTCATGGGGTTCTGGTGTGGATTAGATGAGACCGTTCATTCATTAATGCCAGGTGTCTTTTTGGATGCTGGGGATACAACAGTGAGCAAGACAGAATGTGTAACTTTGGTTTTAGTGGTGAAAGGCAGGTCATAAGCAAGTAGACAAATTAAACTTTAGTACAATATATGATAGTGCGTAATGCTATAAAGAAAACGAAGCAGAATGTTGAGAGAATGTGGGGGGCAGTTTTAGACAGGTTGTTGACAAAGCTTCTTGAGGAATGATACTGCATTTGAGCAGTGACTTTTGGTGAATAATGTACACAGAACACTTGAAATTAAACGATCATGTCCTCCCCCTCCACTGTGTATCAAGTGATTTCAAGTCATAATTCTAGGAAAATAAATTTATTTTTATATCTGGCATTTATGAAACTTACTTCTTTAAGGAAATGGTTGTGGCTCAAACTCCCTGTAACACAGTAGTTCAGAATCTTAATGAGAGACATGAGAGTGTAAGGAAAGAAGTCCAGACTCCTCAGATGGAATATAGCAGATTTTTGTGGAAGATGAATGTCAGTCTGTTGAGCCATTTTCCTTCCCCTCCAAGTTTTACTTGAGGCCAAATTGGTACAGATTCTAGTCACCAGGTTGTGCTGGACATCTTGGATTAGAGTCCCCATGAGTATGTATATACTTGAGAGGAAGCTTCTGTTGAATGTTTTGGGTTAATTTTTCATAATTCTTCATGATTGTGACTCTTGATGTGACGGTATCTTTATTTTATCATTGACTGATAACTGCAGATCTAGAGGAAGGGAATAAAAAGGCCTTCTGCTGCTGCTTCATTAAATACTGTGGGTTGTGTATGCCTTAGTGAGGTTGCTTGGGCTCAATAGTAACTGAGGCCCTTGTCACCCTTTCCTAGTACCTGTATGGAGGCATCAGACAATAGCAGGCTCTGTAGCAGTACTGAGCATTGTGGCCAGGGAGACCATCAGGGTATCACCAGCAGCTGTCTGTCTGAGGAAATATTTCCAACAGAGTTCTGTCAGATCATACCTTCACCCTCTCTGTCTAGGAGAAAGAACAGCCATTGAACACTGTGAAACAGAGCCTTTCATTCTGTTCCTCAAGTATTTCTTGCAGTGTCATATACCCTTGGTGTTATTGGCTGCCCAAGTCCCTGTCTTCTTTTCTCTTTGTATGCTATTGCACTGGGCTTGGGAATGGTGGGGGAAATAAGAAATGAAATTGGTCCCTTTCAGTGGTTGCCTAGTTGTGAGTACTAGTCTAGCTTTGTCATGTTGGCTGCCATTTAGTCTGCATTTTATTCGTTCTTAAATTTGCAGGGTGATGTTTATTGCCTGCTCTTCACTAAAATGCCCTCCTAGAGGATAGCTCTTGTAAACAAATTCATTTCTTTGAAATTTTTACTCAACTTTCTTGGCATCATTGCTCTTTTTTAGCTAAGGATAAGTTGATTGTATGACAAAATCGGCTTGACTTTACAAAGTAAAAAGAAAAGGATACTGTTAACACCTAACATGAAAATTCTCAGTAGTGTCACTAGAGAGGGTATGGGGGTTGCGGAGTACATTGGGTGACATTGTCAGGGGGTGACACCAAAATGACTGACTGTAAAATTTTTGTGTGGTGTTTCAGCAGAAATTTATGACTTTTTATTTAAAAATATCCCTATAATCAGGTGTAACAACAAAAAGTTTTTGTAAGCCCAGCTTACATGTATCAGTATATCTACAGGCTAAAATTATACTAATTTACTTTTTGAACTTTATAATGTGCTCAGGAGAGCTCTGATGGCATCATGCTTAAGGCATTTGACTGCTAACCAGAAGGCTGGAGGTTCAAACCCACAAGCCACTCCTCAGAAGGAAGATCAGGCAGTCTACTTCCATAGTGATACCACCTCAGAAACCCAAGGATGGGTCACTATGAGTCGGATCCAACTTGATGGCAGTGAGTTTTTTTAATGTGCTCAGGTCAGAGCTGCCATTATTACCCAATTGCAGTGTGGCTTTGAATCATGTAATTTCCTCGACAGGCACAACAAGCATGATCTTTAATTTTGTTTTTGTTAGTGTTTTTATAGTTGTTGACTTTATAAAATTATCTGGTGTTTTAGCTACAATATTGTGAGCCTATATCAGTACCTTTTTTGAGAATGAAGTAATTAAAGGAAAAGAAGTAGGAAAATCAAATAAGGCTTCCATTCAGTTATTAATAATGTTGCAAGTAATAATGTTGTAATTCAGTGTAGAAAGATTTTACAAAATAATTTTGTCAACATTCATATAATCTAAGAAATATATTTAAGCAATTTAAAGCTATCTTTATCACATTCTATGGTTAAAATTGATAATAAACATTACTAAAAATTCTGTATGGTCTGATATGGGGGCGTGTGA